TACCTGTACTTCCTCCCATCTCTCTTTTATCAATGTCTGAAGGATAAAAATGCATGTAGTGGTGGAAATATTGTCACACAGCAAATTTCTTTCTATGAAATATATTGGGGGGAGATATTAATGGAAAAGAGTTGAATTTTTAAATGTTCTATATTGTAAATTAGGAATAGCAAAGAAAGGCATTGCCAATGGTCAGAAATTAATGCCAGCCTTACTACCTGAATAGGCTTACCCATCTCATCATTTGGCCTGAAAGATTTAACTCTAGTCTCTTGCCGACCAAAGTCAGTGTCACCAAAATCACTCCTGCTTTAATATTTGGTCAATCAACCCACCAGAAAACTTTGTCTGTCTTAATGTATGTTGGTAATTTTAATCACTTTTCTAAATTTTTGCTTTTTCTCTCTTTCACCTTACTATGTGCATTTAACTTACTTCCTCGTATTTTTCTCTTTCTGTCTGTGTTTTAAACTTCCTGTTAATATTTGCCACAGTGTGTGTTTGTTTGTTTGTTTTAATTTATTAATTTATTGTTAATTCTCGAGGACTGTACATTTAATGGAAGCTTTTCTAGCATGGTTTATTGAGTGATGGAATCTGTCCACTTTCCCAAAAAGTTGATCTTAAGACTTATATGAAGTTGAAACTTTAGCTAAAATATTTTTCCAAGGAGCAGATTTGAGAAATTCTAAGAAATATATATATAATTTTTTTTTTTTTTTTTTTTTTTTTGAGACAGCAAGTATTCATCCAAATAAGGTTTAGAAAAACCAACAAGGTCCGTCTGTGTAAAGTTTTTCTATTATATTTTTTCACCATTCAAATAAGGTGTTGAGTTTTTGTGCTCCAAGTTGTGGATAAACTGTCAGAAGGTTATATTTTGTTCTTTTGTTCAAGTATTTTTGACTATGCCTTTTATTATCAAGAATGAATGTGGTCTCTGTAGTAGTTAGAATTCCTTTTTCTACATTCTGGTATTTTTTGGAAATTTGAAATAGTCTGATGTTATGTGCAACAATTATTAGAAATGAGTCTGTACAAAAAAGAATGAAATTTATTTATTTTTTGAAATATTTTTTATTTATTTGTATATTTTCTTGTATAATATATGGACACATTACTTATGTCATATGCCCCTTAAGATACTGTCTCCTGTGGTGGATGATATTTTATTTAATGTAGGCTGTTTATTTTGTATAATAATAGCTTCTAGGGTTTTAAGTCTTTTCTTGCATTGGGTGCTGCAGAATATTTTGGTATTATTCACAAATATTTGTTTTCTGTTGATAGTTGTATTTTGGTCATTCATGATGTGCTGATCAATTATACAAAATCCCACATTAAATAAAATCTGATTCACCACAGGAGACTGTATGTTGAAGTGCCTATGATATATTTAATGTGTGCATATATATTAGTATAAGAAAATATGCAAATAAATAAAAACAATAAATTGAATTCTTTTTGTGCAGCCTCATTCTCAATAACTATAACACATGATGTTACATCAGACTATTTCAAACTTTCAGTTTTCCAAAGAATACCAGGATGTTGACAAAGGAATTCTAACTACTACAGACACCATGTTCATTCTTGATAATGATTGTGATAGTCAAAAGTAAGTGAAAGAAACTTACTTAGATGGAAAATTCTTGAGAGTTCTGCTATCAAATTTTACTAAAATATAAATCTGTACCCTGGATTTTTTCAAATATCTCAATTCCAGAAAGCATTACTCCTTTCCCAACCCAACATGCATGAATATAAAAATGTTGAAAAATTAAAAGAAAATGGTCAAATTCATAACCTTGTATTATTTAAAATATATAATACATAAATTGATCCCAAACTAAAATAATATAAGTAATAATTACATTATATAAAAAATCAAAAATCAACAGCATTTACTCACTTTTGTTTATTAGATAAATCACTTAGCATTGTTTATAATTTACCTTGATTTTTCAGTCCACCTAATGTATATTGATGAGCATTCTTAAATTTAAACAAACTAAAAACATTTTTTCTTATGTTTAGAATTACTTGTTGCAAAATAAATTCCTTACATTTGCATTGATAAAGTCAGAGAACAAAATGTGTTGGCTAAGATAAGTTTTCTTTGTCTTTATTCATATTGCCTTTTTACAGATATATTTTTAGTTGTATCTGAAATTTTACACACACACACACATCTTTCTTTAATAAGAAATATGAGGTATATATGAGGTCTTATATTTCTTAAACCTGATTAACTATTTTGTTAAGATGAGTTATGTTCAGCTTCTATCTTCTTTGAAGTATTTTGGTTGGAAATTATAATAAGGACAAAGATTTTCTTTTCTATATTTTTAGTCCTCTTTTGCAAAATATTTCAGCAGGATTGTTTAAAAAAACAAAACAAAAACAAAACTTTTTGCTTTACTGTGTTATCCAGCATTCAGTTAAGAAAAAAAACAAAGAAAAACTAGTCAATTCTTCGAGAAACCAGTATCTCTGGAAATGAAATTAATGAAGCCAAACAACATAGACAATGTTAAAATGTGGAGACAAAGAGATCAGATAAGCAATACTAACACAGAAGAAATGTCTTGGTCTCAAAGAACACTCTGAATCACATTTCAACACTGACCACATAAACTTAAGATACCCACAGAAAGAGAACATTTATTAATATGCATCCAATCATTACAAAGTTTGTCATTAAACATAAACAATAATGAACCTAGTGATGAGGAAATTAAGAAAGCTATTAAAGAAACGAGGAATAATAAAGCATCACTTGACATTAAGGCTGAAGTTTTGAAAATAGATTACTTTCTTTCAAAATTCAATAACAAGTTTCTCTATAAAAGTCAGGAATCAAAAATGCATTTCCAAACTGTGGTGTTTATCATGCATTATGGAAACAGAAAGGTATTCCTCAAGACTCTTACACATGCAGAGGTATCTCAATTGGATCCATCATGCTGAAAGTTTTAATGAACATTATATTAACTAAGCTCTCATTATTTTATGAAAGTCAACTCCTCATGATCCATCTTGGTTTTCATTCTGGTAAGAGATGCAATGTTGGCATAGCTGTCATCAAACAACTCCAAGAAACTGCTTATCTCTCTAATAAGAAAGTCTATACCTGCTGTGTCAACGTCACAACAGCATTTGACCACATTAATAAAGACTTCCTCTTCTCCATTAGAAACTGGGCTTATGGCTACATTATGTTGAAATACTGGTTCCTATATGATCACTAAAGTTAAGCAACATTGAGCCCGGTCAATGAGAATACTAGGTGCTGTAAGGTTGGATGTGTGGATGGTGTAATGGATAATGGCTCAGAGAGCAGAGTTTCAATTCCTGTTGAGTTTGTTATATTCACTTAAATGCAAATACTCTTGGGAAAGGTATGAATCCAAATATTCTCACCCCAGCTTTGGGCTAATTAGTAAGACTTTTATCACAAACCCATTATTATCTAAAAAAAAAAATTTCTTAAAATCTGAAAATATTTTCTGGCTTTAAATAACCTGCAATGGGTTGATAAACCATTGAAAATGAATGAATGAATCCAGCAAATCAATCCATTAGAAACTGCCTTCCAAGCTCTGAAGCCATTGAATGCATTGAGGAACTGTATCAGTCTACAGAATCTTACATGTCTGGTGAGGACACCAATATGGAAACATTTCAAAACTTATCAGAAGTATGACAAGTAGAAGATAAAAGCCACAGTCTATTTAATCTTTTCCTAGGCTATGACCTGTGCATTTACAAATAGAGATATAACATTGGCACTGATCATCTCAGCATTCCATACCACATCCTAAATGAATCTACCAATAGAAGACAATGATTTTGCTTTCCTTCATGAGGCCAGTGTACTGATCATGAGTGGGAAGGCTATGCTGATGACATAGGTGTTCATAGTTGGGATAAGAATGATCTTGAACAGAAAATTCACATCCTTTACCAAGTGTTACAAGAAATAAGACTCAATATAAACACAAACTATGATCTAGAATTGGAATAAAAGCAGTGATGGCACATATCCTGAATTCATCATAAAAATTCAGGATGTGGAATTAGTAAATATTAAACATTTCAGATACCTTGGCGTATGGACAAATTTAGTATAGCAGAAAAAGGGAATTGAATTTGCTAGAAATAGTTTTGCTCAACATCTCAAATTGCTACAAAATGAAAACACCAACCTGAAAACTTATGTTTTTATATAGCCTCATCAGATTGAGGTTTTCATATGGATGTTATGTATGGTGCCTAACCTGTTCAGAAATATCTAAACTGTCAGTTGTATATAATCACTTTCTGAGATCAAAGTTTAAAAATGGCTTTGAGCAAATGAAGCCTGTGGGTATTGGCAAAGACCATCCTTCTTTGAACATTGTTGATTTGTGCTTCAGAATCACAAAGAAAGAACTGTACCAGATAATAGAAACCACTTCACTTTAGGACTACAAACAGCAGCAACGACTAAAATGTATAGCACATGTAACTCAAAGAGAAAATAATGACAAAATCCAGATGTTGACCTTCCACACTATTTCAAATGAAAGGTTAGGAAAAAAATTCCCATCAATACTGGAAAAGCAATCTAAGTTAATGGACTTGAGAAACCTATTTTTATGAAAAAACTTTTAAGAGAAAAACTATAAATTTCAACCAAAAGCAGTACTAGCTGCTCAGTCAATGAATGCCTAATGTTGCCTTGTAAGGAAATAGCTAATATCATCAGGTCTTTGCTATCAATGCCACAGGTTGGGGTTTAAGCCTAGATTCTAGACTTTAATGACTGATAGACAGGCCCTCTTCACTTTATAGATTCATACAACACACTCTTCTTGCTCACTTCTCATTATCCCTAATCATCATTTGTCCCTAAATCTAAGTAAATATATTTTTAAAAATTTTGATGCCTAATAAAAAACAATAATGTCACTAATGATTTATTTTTGCTTTATGTCTATATTTCTTTCTCTCTACAGAGTTTAAAACTGAAAAACGAGAAAAATGTCACGGAATTGTTTTCGATTGCCATTTCAAATTTCAAAGTCATGGCTTCATTTTCATGCTTCACAACCTCGTACAAACTGGAACATGTTTTCAAGAGTGGCCATGAATGTTCGTTGCTGTCAACCATTAACCCATCAGATACAGAGGCACTGTCGAATGTTAAGCAACGTTATTGGAGCAGTTCCAGGAGACACCCCAACAAAAGGTATCCTGCAGAGTGTGCATCCGTCTGTCGATGTACCCGACACCTCATTTGCTTCTTTCATGCTTAGCAAATATGAAAAGCACAAAAACTTAATAGCAATTGTAAGTATGTCTTTATTGATAATTTAGCTGTTTATTAACCCAAGTTCTCACACCTGATCTAAGGTGTAAGAGATGAAGGCAATGTCATTTGCATAGTCTGTGTAGCAGATAACTGAAGCAGGTTGGCATCTGCTCCTCGCTTTCATTAGATGAGACCAAGCAGTTCAATATTTCATTGTTATGTAAAAATAAGTCCTCAGAGCATACATTTTTGCATGCAATCACAGACTTGTGGCACAATCTGTTTCAGATTAAAAAAAAAAAAAAATCTACCAATCTTGTCAACTACAGTCAAGATCCTTGTCTCTGAGATCCTGAATTCCATAATCATTTCCATGCATGTACAGTATATGCTTCACCAGGGTGACATGCTTTTTTTTAATTCAGGGTTATCTTTCTCCTTGGTGGGTTGTCAACCATGGCTAGATAGCCAAGACTGCTCTGCTAATTAACACGCAACTGGGAGGAGAATAAATGGATTCAGACCTTTCCCAAGGTATTTGTGCAAAAGTGAATGTAATGAACTTGATTTTTTGTTCAAAGTCATTTACCATTGGTAATGGTAATATTACTTCTTTTTTTCTTTTATAATTGAGTTCACCCCAAGTGAGGCAGGAAAGCCACTAAGACACAAAGGGTTACTGGGTGTGGGAGAATTGAAAAGAGAAACTTTATTAAGGAGTGAGAACAAAAGAAAAGTAATCAGGTGGACAGTAGATAGCAATTGACATTGCATTTAAATTTTTGAAGATTAAAGTTGGCTGGAAAGCATGGAGCTGAAAGGGAGTTCCACAAGTGAGAAGTGTGAGAAAAGAAACTGTTAGCATAGAATTTATGGTTACATCTAGCCATCTCAATTTGTATACAGTTTATAGCTTGTTTCCTGAACAGGTTGAATGTCATGCATGATATCCATATGAAAGTTTCAGTCAGATGAGGTTATGACTCCAATTTTCAGGTCAATGTTGTGGTTTGGGGCAAAACTACCCTTAGCACAGCTTATTCTCTGTTCAATTTCCTTATCTCCTGGACTAAATTTGTTATAACAGATCCATATACAGAGATATTTGTAGTATTTATTATTTAGTAATTCTGCATTCTGAATGATGGATGCTCAGGTTACGGATCATCACTTGTTTTCACTCGATTTCCAGATTTTGGAAAAGTTTATCTTGTGTCCTACTTCTTGGAACACTTGGTAGAGTGGTAAGGCTCCCAAAAAATCAATAATGAGAATACTTCAATTCCTGATTTTCATCAATCATCATCAATTGTTTCAGTTGTGCTTTTTCAGTGTTATTAGTTCCTGACTCAGAATCTATGCTGATTACACAACTATTTTCTCCTGTGTTAATACTGATAGGTTCAATATAATCAAATTGACAGTAGATATTGAAAATGACCTTCAATTTATTGTTAACTAGGACAAGAAAAGGCTTGTTAATAGTAATATTGTAATGATGAGCTTACAATGTTGCATCTGTGAAAAAGAAGCTGCAGAGTGGAAAATAAGCCTTCTCTCATTGATTGTGTAAATATCTGAACTGTAAAGGTCTGAACCGGTGATATTAAAGAATGGAGCTCATCTGAACATTTGCCATGGAAATAGTGATAGACTGGCAATGGGCTTGCAATGTTGAGTCTGTGGGAAAGAGGTCACAGTGCATAAAATAATTTATCAACCACAAGCCCATGTAAATGATTTTGAAACAATGTCACAGCTAGAAAGTGAGGATTGAGTAACTCCATATGGCTGCAATAATTTTTGTTTAATCTATTCAATTAATTAAAGGGTTACTTTAATTTGGCAGTCCCAACAAAAATCCTTTGCAGGCTGGATGTGGCCCAGGGACAGGGGCTACATACTGCTATAATGACTGCTTTGTGTTTTTGTGATTTTTATTGTTGGTTAAATTTCCATAAATTTGCATATAATTATGTTGAGAGGACAATAGTGCAGAATAGATTGGCTGAAATGCTCTTATAACAATAAAAGCAAGAAAAACATTGAGATCACTAGTTCAAACAACTCTTGCAATAATGACACAGAATTACAGAAGATATTTATTACAATGTTGAAAATGTTACAAAGAAGATATTTATTAGTGTTGAAAATGTTACAAAAGATATTTATTACAGTGTTACAAAAGATATTTATTAGTGTTGAAAATATTACAAAAGAATGAGTTTAATACTCTAAATAACTGTTAGAATGATAATGGAGTTGGTATTAAACCTAGGGAAGCCCTCTATTTTAAAAAGATAGAAACAGTACCAAACCAAAGTGTAATTCTGTCTTGTATCTTCAGTAACAGACTGATGGTATATATCACAAGAAAAGTGTTGAATAAAATAATACCACTGTTGATGAAAAGAGAGAATTGCTAAAATGCTAACCATGATGTTTGTTTTGCTAAATTATGTATGACTACTTAAACAAATAGATCAAGTTTGTTGTCTGTTTTTGCCAAACAGTAGATTCAGGTGATATCCTTGGGTATTTGGTGTCTAAATTTTCAGATTTTCTTTAACATTATTCTTGTAACCTAGGTAAGGTCACTGAATAGAATAATCAAGCGAAGGTTGGTAATGAACGATAATACTTAGGACAAGAATAACATATATAAGATTCACCAACGGCACATAGAAGAAGTAATCAACTACTAGAAGTGAGTCAAATAAATTCCACAATAAATCTCCAACTGCAGAATATCTACCAACCACCCCACGCGGTCAGATGTGGCACAAGGCCAAATTTAATTTGGGGGTATCTGAGCCTGTAGGCTTGGCAAAAATTCCCCATAGATGACGTATAAAACGGGTCAGGTAGCTGTTTCCCTGAGACGAGACTCTGCCCTTCAATGTAGCCTTGTCTGGGGATCCTCTCTGCCAGGAGGCAGAGTGTTTGACCAGCACAGCTGGAGACAAATCTCCAACTGCAGCCCAACATACAGTATTTACTACTGTATTTATGTGAATGGGGACATACCATTATCATCTGTAGGTATGCTACAACAATTATCTTGCATTTTTTGTTTTCTGTTTCTTTTCTTTTTTCTTTTCTTTTTTCTTTTCTTTTTTCTTTTCTTTTTTCTTTTCTTTTTTCTTTTTTTTTTCTTTTTTCTTTTTTTTTTATTATTTTTCTCTTTCCTCTGTTTTTCTTTTTTCTTTTCCTTTCCTTTTCTTTTCTTTTTCTCTTTTTCTTTTTGTTTCTTTTCTCTGTTTTTTTTTTCTCTTTTTCAATAATTGTGTATTCTAGAAATACATGTAGTTTTATCTACTTCATTTTTTCCTGTTTCAAACCAAACAAGTGAATTCGCTGAATTTATATTATCAGTTCAAGCATGAGCATTTACTTTTAATGCGTACTTTTTTGTCTATTTTTTGTCTATTTTGAGGCTTATGGCCATATCATGTTGAAACTCTTGTTCCTGTACAATCACTAAAGTTAAGCAATGTCGAGCCTGTTCAGTACCTAAATGCTTGACCATTTGGGAATACCACATGCTGTTAGGTAGGATTTATGGGTGGTGTAATAGATAATGGCTCATAAGTATTAAATAGAGAGCTAAGTTCCAGTTCCTACTGGGTTTGTTACAATCACTAATGTGCAAATACTTTTGGGGAAAGGCAGGAATCCACCTTTCTCCCCCCCCCCCAGTTATGGGTTACTTTGTAAAACTTGTATAACTAAATCAGTATTAAAAAAACATTATTACAATCTAAAAATATTTTTTGGCTTTAAATAACCTGCAATGGGCTGATAAGCTATTGAAAATGAATCAATTGTCTATTTTGACTTGTATGCCTTCCAAAAGCTAAACAAAATATTAAGAAACAGGAAAAAATCATTAGAGACAAAGAAAAGGTTGCTGAACTGCTATCTAATATCAGTCCTCCTATATGGTACTGAATGCTGGACAATTTACTCATATATGAAGAGGAAACTTGAGGCAGTAAAAATGTGATTCTACAGAAGGATGCTGAGAATACCATGAACTGAGCATGTGAGCAATGATAAAATTTTAGAGCAAAAGGAAATAAAATGGACACTTATACTCAAAACTGGAAAGTCAAAGAAAAGAGGGCTTGGAGAAATTGACACTCTCAGGATGTATGGAAAGCAAGAAGGGCAGAAGGAAACAATGAGTAACTTGCCTAACAAGCTTGTGTAAATGGATAGCTGGAAAGGGATTGGGAGAGATTAGTATAAAGACAAAAAACTGTCAATCTGGTCATCATGAGTTTTGGAGACGTACTTGCATATTTTAGCTATCAGGAGTACATTACTTATTTTGGTCAGTAGCTTTTAACAAATGGTAGATTCTTACAACATTCTTTAGCATTTGATTGTTAGCATTTAAAAGTAGTTTTCCTTGAAACTCTTGCCATTTTTTTTTATTATTATTGAATGTGTTCTCAAAATACAATACTTGTAGTTTTATCTACTTCTTTTGTTATCTGCTTTAAACCAACCAAATTAATTTGCTGAAATGTTTAGGATCAGTTCAAATACCAGCATATATCCTTTTTCCGATTTGACTTTTGTAATTATATTATTAATTTGTTCTTCCTTTATGCATGGAAAATTATTTTTCATTCTTACATTTTGTACTTGGTGACCTTTGCTATAGATCAAGTCAGTTCCTAGTTCTAGAATATATGATTACTTTTAAATTCTAATTATAACTTAGCTTAATTATTATTAGTTATCATTTAAGTCTCATCAGTAGTATGTCACTATGGATGATGGAAGAGGATGCAGACAAGTCAATGATTCTTCTCTGCTTATTATTCTGATTAAGGGAAACAGCTCTGTAATTGGCAATTAATACAAGTGCTAGGGGTAGACTTGCCCAGCATTGCAAATTGGTAAGAAAAAACAAATCATTAACGTAAAACCTAGACTCATGTTCTTAAATAGCCTTGTCAGATTGAGACTTTCATATGGATGTCATTCACGGCAGTGAACTCATTTAAAAATACCTTTCTACAGAATAAGAAACTATACCAAATAACAAAAAACATATAAAGACATTCAACAGCAGCAATGACTAAAATGGATAGCACATGTAGCAATGTGAGAAAATAAAACACATAATCAAGATAGTGAAAGGAAAAAAGCCTCCATCAATACTGGAAAGGGCAATAACAGTTATTGAGAAACCTATGTTCCTGAAAAATTGTTTTAATAGAAAGATTTTATAAATTTCAACAGAAAGTGTTACTGACTGCTCAGTCAATGAATGCTGAATGTTTCCTTATAAGAAAACGGCTAATATTGCTATAATCATTAGAGATGAATAAAACAGATACTACACTTTATTTGCTGCCCTACACTGGCAGGATGTGACACAAGGTTTGTTTAATTTGAGGAGCCTGAACATATGCACCTGTGCTCGGTCCAAAAATGGCTCAGCTACTGTTATGATGTTGATTTGGGGTTAGTAGAGACAAACGCCAAATAACACGTAACAATAAAAAGGGTTTTAATAGGTTGGTAAAAAGGTACAGAAATCGCCTGAGTAGTCAATAACTAGCTCAGCTAAGAACGTCTCTGTCTTCTGACATGCCACTATTTAAAGTCTTTGTTCGTAGACAAGTTCATCTTCAAGAGGGGTAGTAGGTTTCCGACACACAGCTACCGAAATCATCACTTGCACTGGCATTAGTATTACTACAAATTGCTCCTCTTAGTGCAATGAGGGAGGTACTACCATGGGTGGTATTTCCCCAAGACTGGGAACCTCTCATAATATTTTCAGTTTCACTCTGACTCCAGACAGAAATATAATTAAGGGATAAAATGTAGTGTATCTGCTTGAGGGCAGATACTACACTTTGATCTCAACCTGATAGTCAGGGAGTGAAGCAAAAGAGTAACTCAAATATCACTGGCTGTTCAGTATATGAATGCCAAATGTTTCCTTCAGGAAACTATTAATATTACCATTACAAATGAAAAGAACAGATACTACACATTTACCATATGCTTTTAGTATTTACTGTACTACAATAAATATAATGATGAGAGTGGATGAAAGTTTTGACTTTATTTTAATAAATCCTCTCAGTGATAAGAGAAATTATATAAATGATGAGTAAATAATTTGATTATATGTCTATCATTAAATTATTTCTAATTAATTAATTAGTTTTCTTTTTAATATTTATTGTGTCACTATATGTTGGTGTGCTGAAAAGTTTGTAAAAGTTATATTTGTTTCATAATGATAGCATAATTTTAAAATTTTTACAATTTGTTTTTTAAATCCCTTTGTGGGTGGACAAATAACTTTTCTGGTACATGCATATATTGATTAAAATTTCATATTTATCTTTTTAATAAATCCTACTCCTGATACCAAAGATCAACTAAAAGGTTGATAAGTATTTACACTATTTACATTGTTCAAACTGTTGTCCTCATCTTTATTGCCATATTCACAATGTTTCGCCCATTGTATACTCCGGACTTCTTCAGGTGATATTTGTTGGAATTTCAGACCAAAACCTTTATGCAGTTCATAGGGGTAGATTGTTCTAATTCCACATGCCATGCATTTTGATATCTCAGTTTCAGTTAATTCCTCTTGATAACTCAACACCAAGTTTTTATTCTCTCTGTGGCCAGGTATTGAACTCACAACTCTTTGGGTCAAGTCACTTTCGAATCAATCCACTGGGCCATGTGAAGAAGACTAGAGCATACAATGGCTGAAATGTCATGAATATGACAATAAAGATGAGGACAACAGTTCGAACAATATCAATAGTGTAAATAGTTACAATACCTCCTTTCAGAAATATAATATCGAAGTTTGATAAGCAGTAAAAAACAAAACAAATCCAATCACAGGTTACCTAAACAGCTGTGTGTGTGGTTTCAAGGCTTAAATATTGTGGGTTCATAAGTTAAGTCCATAATCTCATTATTATCCATTATTTGCAGTTTTCAATTTTTTATTTATTTTTTCCTGCAGGAAAATGGTATCACTGGTGAAACATACACTTATGATCAGGTGATTACTAAAACTTTAAAAACGGCCAGTGCCTTAAAGAAAGCTGGTTATAAAGCTGGAGACACAGTTGCTATTTTCATTCGAAACAGTCCAGAATATTTGGTCATCATTCTTGCAGCATCGGCTCTTGGTCTTGTCATATCAACTGTCAACTCTAGTTATACTTCATGTAAGTATCAGATTCATTTTTCCTACTTTATTTGGTTTGTGTCCAGTAAATTTGTCAATTCTGCTATATTTTTATGAATAATATTTTGTGCTACTACATGAAGAGTTTTCAAATTCTCTTCTACTGATAAGAACTATTGTTGAAACAAGTTTTTAAGTTTAGAGCCTATGGGTTTGTAAACACAACAAAGCACTTTCTCATCTTTTCATTGACAGGGCACATAACTCCACATTTTATCTCTATTCCTGTTCATTTCAGCATGAACAAAAACTGAAAAAGATCCATCATACATTCCCAAGGAATCAAAAGGTGGTAATTAATGCCATCGTATGAAATCAAGACTCAAATTTAGTTTCCAGAATACCTGGTTGGTTTTTAAAAGGATTCATTTACATGGTAGATAACACTTGAGACAATTTCTGTCATGTAAGCTGAGCAGATCAGCTTTTCCCTTCACCTAACAAGATCTCTTTTATTTCTACATTACAATGTATGACTGGCAACTTTCTCTTAATGGACAATGGGCACTTACCAATGGGAAGCCCGGGAGTACTCTCAATGTCTAAACAACAGGTTTTTTTTGGTGGGGGGGTTCTTAAATCCATTCATTGTTGTGTCAAGAATTCATATATGTAATGATTGGAATGAAAGTTTTGTTATATTTGTTTCATAAATTCTACCTATGATATTATACTTTTAAATTTTTTTGAGATTATTTTTTTTATTATTGTTGAAATCTTTACTTTGTTGGGCAAATAACTTTTAATCATCTCTTCATACATGTAATGATTAAATTAAACGAAAATATTGTATGTATACTTATAATAAATTCTACTCCTGCATATCGTGAGTAGAACAGCACACATACAAAAAACATACAGAAGAAATGAGGGTAATTCAGTTCTGTGGAAATGGTTATAGCATATCCGAGTTGTACAGGTGTAAATTAGTGGAACTAAAAACTAATGCTCATCTGAAACTGCCCTAAAAGTATTGCAACTATGACTGATCTGGCCATGCGACATGACATCAGTGATCCATTGTCAGATAATAAGATGTTCTTTGGCCTGCAGGAAAAATTATGCATCTTGTAATTTAAAATTTATGGTAAGCATAAACTGCTTAACCAGAAGACAGAATTACTATAAAAATATCTACATAGAAATAAATATCTCTTATATTATTTGTTTTATCACCCCAATTCACATTTTTAAAAAGAGCACTAATTTAAACCTGTCACACAACATTCATTACAACATGCAAATGAATTTAGCAACAAATGAGGCATAAAAAACAACTAAGAAGAAAAGGCAAAATCTTAAAAAATTGGATTAATTGATTTACTTTCTCTTAATTGCTGTTGTTCCCAGGTTCACCTTGACCCAGGGTGGTATCACCTGTTAGGATCTCAGCTATGGACAAATAGTTAACCCTTAAACTAGGATCAAAACACTATGAAAGTATAAAATAGATTTTTATCATAAAAATACCAGCAATACATTTTTGAAAAAAAATGTTAACAGCAATACATTTGATTTTCGACAAAAACCCTTTACAAAAAATACATCAATGAAACCTGATCTACAAACTAATTTATTACAAAGAATACATATTCTATTCCTACGAACATATCCTAAAAATCTTGTTGGCATTAAATAACCCATTGAGGTTGATATGGCAAAAACCAAAGCATATCAACCAAAATCTACTTGATATATGTCATTTTAAAAAAAATAGTGTCAATTTAAAACTGTCTGTCATAACATTCATTTCAGCAAGATTCCAGTGACTTTTCCAAGCAAAAAGACAGAAAAAGCAAGTATCCTCTGAAGATCAAGGACGAAACATGTGCAAGTTTTGATTAACGTCATACAATCATAACTTGATAAAATATTTAGAGTTAAGACAAATTTAGACCACTCCTAATATCCTGACCTCATTATTTTTATTTATTTATTTATTTTTTGAGCTTCTTTAACAAAAAAACCAAAAAACTCTGCACTGATGACCTACAGAGGTTGATGTGCCATTAAACAAGAACAATGACTTTTATGGGTTACAGGACTTGTGATTGAAAATTCTATAAATTACTGTCCTAACCTAAAAGTTTATTAAAGATCTAGTGCAGTATATGTAAAAAAGGTAATGGGATCCCTTTTTTTTATTGATATATTATATAAATATTATTGTGTTTGGCTGAAATGTTTGTGTGGGTAGAGTATGAATAATGCTGGAAGATTGCTTATTGTATAAAACTTTCAGCTCCAGTTTGACTAGTCTTTATATCATTTTTAATATTCATAAAATAAGTGGGCCACTTCCTTTGGCCTATATATTGATAAGTAACTATTTATTACTAATGTCATGTTATTTGCCTCCTGATTAATGGTTCATCAGTTAGTTTTGTATTTGCATAAAGGTTGCATTTGTTTTGTTTTTTAATCATTTTAACCCAAGCAGGTAATAATGCCAATAGAATTCTGGGGGTTACTGGGAGTGAAAGAGAATGAAAAGAGATAAAATTCAGTAAAACAGAAGATGGTGATTGATATTGTATTTAAATGTTTAAAGATTGTAGGTGGTAGGGAAGCAAGAAATTAGGAATTCCACAGGTGAGAAGTGTTAGAAAAGAAACCATTAGAATAGAACAGACAGTTACATCTAGCTAATTCATCATCACTAAAACAATGAGACCTAATTGCCAATCTAGAAGAAGGCTTAAATTCCTGCCATCGTGTTTCTAAAGAAAAAAAAATAATTAGATCATTTCTAATAATATACATTTTGTATATTTTTGTACATTTTTTTTTTTTTTTTTTTTAAAAACATTTCACCCCAAGCACAGTCCTAATGCCACTAGGGTGCAAGAAGATACTGTGATTTTAGGGGGAAAAACAATTTGTTTTTCTTCCTTTCTCACACGCATCTTGCTTTTTTTTTGTTCTTCCTCTTTCACTGTGCTTGCTTCATTCATCTGTCCGTCTGTCAAGTTACTTGACACTTGATCAACCCACCTCGCCAACTAATTTCTCATTGACTCATAGAGCCTTCTTTCTACTCACAATTCCCTGTATTTTTCACCATCCATTATAATTATGGGTAAGGCAAGTAGCATCCATTATGATACAATTCTTTTACACATCCCCCACTAATCTCCTGGATCATTTTCTGTGTAAAAATTGATTGGATGTACACACAGGAAAAGAAAGGAAAAAATGTTGGTGTGAGTCCAATAGGTCCACTAAGCAAAACAAATCGAAACTTCTCTGTGTCTCAATCTCCAATGCACCACTCACCGTCAGAAGCAAAAACAAACTGCTCTTGAATGAGTGTACAATGCTTTTATACATCTGACCCAGCCATCATTTAGCCAATGAGTGGCCAGAACCAGCCAGTAAAAATGGCTACAAGTGAAACCACCACTTCCATCAGCCCAAAGTGCTGCCTGATTAACCATCCATCTGAAACTTACTGATTCGCCATCTCCACACTCCCTTGCAAAACATACATGTAACTCTGGCCCTTTTGGGTCACCCGAGGTAAGTCACCATTACATTCCCCCCCCCCCTGATCTCCTGATCACAGCTAATGCATCCTGGGGCAGGTACCTTTGAAGAGGAATAACAAGTCTCATTCTCAGATGAACTATGTCCTGGAGAGTCATTGCTTGCTCCGGCATTGGTCCCTGAACTGCTGGTATTGGAAGAATCACCTGGTAAACTCTGTTTTAAATACACGAATCATTCACTATCCTGTTGCTATCAGTCTGATGATGTATATGATCCCAGAACAGGGCATAAATTCTTCACATGCCATGGTGTTACATCAATCTGCACTGACTGCAGACTGATCACTTGAGTTATGCGGACGTTTTGAATTTGGTTGTGCATCTACCATGTGGAGACTTTACCCGGATGATGTCCCCTTCTTTATATGTTCCTTGAATGTTTTGCAGTGCAAATGAGGGTGTGGCATTGATGTTTCGTACCTGGATGTGGTACCTATGCGGCATGTCGTCTGGTGCTGTGGAAGATGAAAGACCGTCCTTGGGAATGACATTGTACCAATAGACCACCTCTGGCACTGAACATTGCTTTCTGGCTGCAATGGTCTTGATACTTCTATGACTGTGTTCAACAATCCCATTCCCAGCTGGTACATGGGCATATCGGAATCCCAAGTGCACCCCCCAGCTATTTAAAAATTTCTTAAAGTTCTTACAAGTGAATGCAGTGTTTTTATCAGTTAATATTTCAGCTGGTGGGCCGGACTTGTAAAATTCCAGCTGATGAATAACACTAGTGGAGTCTTGATGATGCAGTGGCTGCCATATTGCAAACTGATAAGGACTGCAATCAATGAGCATTAGAAAATGACACTTTGAAGTGGGTAATGTCTATCACTAATCTACTCCAAGTTAATTTTACACCTAGTGTCTCTTTCTTCCAATGCACCAGTGCTGGATCAATTGACCGGCAGGGTTTGCAGGTTTTGACAACAGATTTGGCAAGCTTTCTAGACACTAATGGGTCAACAGACCTGGCAAAATATAAGGTTCTTTTCACACCTGGGTGGCCACTTTGGCAGTGTATATTGGTCAACCACCTCAGTGTCACTCAAGTCAGGCAACCTCCATGGTTTAGACAGGATTTCATCAGCGTCACATCCATTGTCCAAGCATATTCCTCTGCCAATGCACACAAAGTCTCTAAGTGCTGTCTTACCAGCATCTCACCAGCTGCCTTTGTGTTCACCTTTGCCTTACCAGTCAGGGTGTCAGATATCCATTGATGCACACATGTTGGCACGCATGTCGAATCCGTAACCAAATACAATACTAATGCCTGCCATTGAAGGGCCAGATTTATGCCTTTTATTGCTTCATCGAGCTTAGCCAAGTTGATATGCTTGACATATTCAGCTGGACATAACCAACAAGCATCCTCCATGATGCTCCCATTCACTTCTAGTGCCACTCCTGTGGCCACAGAACTTGCGTT